CCCCTTTCTTTCCCTAATCTATGCACTTCTCTCTGAACTCCGCGTCCATGGCAATGTGCCCAAAGCTCTCCCGGCTCATCTGTCTTATTTTCCCTGCTCTTTGATGAGGAGATCCATTTCCAACTCTTCAGATTGCTCAAAAAGTCCAGCTCCCTCTGGATTTCAGACGGAATCGATATTTTATAAAGACGGGTTGACCATTAATGTTTGCAAAATAACATACTTATCTTTCTGGAGGTTCTAGCAGTAAACTGCACCTTGTATAGAGGATGCTGATTGTGGGTGATAAATAAAAATGTGTTTAGAATAATGAGAATGATAAACTAATAGTAGTAGCTATTTATTGTGGGGCTTATGTACCAGGCATTGTAGAGAGAAGTTTTTATGTAGTGTTTCTTTTAATGTTTACAGTATCTCTTTGAATGGGTATTATTATTAATTTTCATTTTATGGGTGAGAAAATAAGGCTTAAAGAAGTTAAGTAAGGTGCCCAAGGTGAATACTTAATTGGAATTTTATTTTTAGTATCCTCAGAAACATTTTAAAGTGGGATTGAATCAAAGTCAAGCTGACTTCAAGCCTAGGCTCTAAAAAACTGTAGTAATTTAAATTAGTGATTACAATTTTAGAACTAGAAAGGATTCAGATCTCATGTAATTGTAGCTATGAACATGGCACATATCAAATATTGTACATGTTAACTATTATGTTAGAGAAAATTCAAAATGTGTTCTTTAAATACACAGCAAAACATAGAACTATTACCTCAAATATAATTTTTGCAACCTTAACTATAATAATAAGGTAAAGAAGGTAGTTTGAAGGGTAACAAACTATTGCAAAAGACAGGAAGAACAAAATCGTTCCCCTGGGTGTGAACAAATGCTCGACATAGACAACCAAGTCAAGTTTATTACTCTTTTTAGTAATGGTCACTGACATAGAAGTAATGATGACTACAATAGGAAGCAATGGTCATAGGGCGATTGTCTCCTGAGCTCACCAGTCATCCCTGCGGAAACCCGAGGTTCAGCAGGAAGCTTCACTGACTTCGGGAAAACTCCAAGACAATGGTACAAAAAGGCCCAAGACAACAATTATTTTTAAAGAAAAATACTTAAACTGCCTCTGGATTTTCATGAGACTAGGGACCCGTGAAATGGGATTATATGAGGAAGAAAAGATTTTCATTCATTCATGTAATAAATGTTATTAAATGCCTTTTCTGGGAGTGTGTTGCCTTAAGTGCCACAGAACAGACAAAGAGTTTATAGTCTCAAATGCATATGAAATATGATATAAATCACAGGATTACCAGGTAGAAGCAGGCAAGAGCTACACAAAGGCGGCGTTGTGCATGATTTATGATGCTGCTGATGATGCTGCATTGTCTTTAAAAATTAAAAGTTCGATCCCGGGGAGGCAGGCACCATTCTTCCAGGTATTACACCGAAATCAGCGGCAATGCTAATTAAAGTAAGCTTCATCTACTGTGGGTGCAGGTAGCATGAGGAAAGACTATTGTGTCCTATCATTTGTTCTCCCAAATGATGCCATGCAGTATAGTCACATGATAAATGTAAATGAATTATCTTTTGTCATTCCTCTTCACCTGGAATGTATGCACATTCTCAAATTTCATTTCTGTGCCAGGAAGCATACAATAACCATTAAAACAAAAACATTTTAACAGCATTATTCTATGTGTTAGGCACTGAAAATATTATTTCAATTTATTTGTGGAACATCCCTGTGAGGCAAGTATTTTTATCATCTCCATTTTATCGTGGTGGGAATTCTGCAGTTTGGAACACTGAATAGCTTGCCCAGAAGCATAACCTAGCAAATGGTTTGAGATGGGAATCCAACCACTCTGATTCCTGGGTCCACAGGCACCGCGCCAAATTTAGGCTGCCCTGGTAAGGAATGAACTGAGAGACAAGGCCTTGCGTTCCCTCTCTTTCCAGACAAGTAAACAAACCCTGCAAGCTGTTAACTGCAGTATTTCCACACCTACGTGACTTTAACAATGGAACTCACTCAAAATAGCAATAATTGCATGCTAACAGCAATAAGTTACAAAAGATATAAGTAATATGTTCTGACCACACGAAGTTTATCATCTACCAACAGTTTTTAGAGCAATTTCTATCTACCGACCAACCTTACCTACTGTTAGAAATCCTTCTATTTCCAGAACGAACGGGGTTTTGCAACCTTTTACAAGATGCTGATTGTCTAGTTCAAACCGGAAGTGCAAACGGAGGTAGCAAACAGGGATGAACGAGACAGAAAAAACAGTGTCAAGCAGGTCCAAAGTTTAAATGCAACGCACAGGCAGGTGGCCGTGGAGGTGAAAGCGCGGGATCACGTTATCAGGGCGCGGGAGAGGGAGTAAAGAAGGGAACCCAGCACCTCCACCGCCGCCTCAGGTGTGGCAGCTCGCGGGCCCCGTGGAAAGAAGGGGCAGATCCTTTTCCAGGGCGCTCCTTCATCGAATCCATGGGTCGGAGATCAAAACCCGTGGGGCTAAAGAGCATCTTAGCAAAAAAAGAACAAAAGACTGAATCGAATGTTTGCATATGCCGCCCCCCAAATTAATTTCGCTGTTTTTAGTTTTAAAAAAGGCCAAGTACATCATAATCTGGTCAAACGTAAAACATCTGGGCTTTCTTCAAAACTGCATAAAATAGGAATGAGGGTTTTCTTTGGCAACTGAATGTGAGTAATATTTCTCAGGGAGTTGTTTACATTTGTTTACATGTATCCACATCCTCTTAACCTACTGTTTTTTTCTTCTTCTACTTTGTTTTTCATTTAAGTATAGTTAGTATACTATATTATATTAGTTACATTAGTTTCAGGTGTACTATTTAGTGATTTGACATTTTAAACCTTACAATGTGATCACTCCTCTAACTTCTAGTAATCGTCTGCCACCATGCAAACTTATCACAATATTGTTCACTATATTTCCTTTTCCTTTTTCTCCCCATCCCCCATCTCTCCCTCTGGTAGCCATTGCTTTGTTCTCTGGTTCTATGAGTCTGTTTTTGTTTTGTTTTGTCTGTTCACTTTTTTTCAGATGCCATGTATAAGTAAAACCATACAGTGTTTGTCTTTCTCGGACTTATTTCACTGAGCATAATACCCTCTAGGTTCATCCATAACCCTCATGTTTATATAGAACCACAGAACACCACAAACAGCCAAGGCAACCTTGAGACAAAAGAATAAAGTTGGAGGTGTCATGCTCCTACCCCTATTTTAACCACCTCCCCTCTCCACATCTCTGGGTTTTAGGCTGGCAGGTTAGGTGGTACTTATATAACTTAAATCCATTTGTTGAATGACATTTGTTTATTCAGTGTTATAAACAGCCACCCCAGAAACCCAAGAGGGGAAAAATATACTTCAAGCTACAAAAGGTTTGTAGCACTGAAGGAATAATCAACTTAATATTTTCTTCTTTAGTTAAATAGATGCATTTCCTAATGCAAAATAGTCTCTTCTGTCAGGCCAAATACAGTGTTATTTTAAAAGGTATCTATTAGAAATGTACAGACAATGCAAACATGGACTAAAATGCTCAAGATTGGAAACCGACACCAGTTTTTCCACCGGTCACACCCATGCATATCAGGGCCTGTTTGTAAAAAGCACCAAGGCTAGAGTTTAAGGCCAATGTGCAGATCTGTTTGCCATAAAACATTAATTGTATAAATGTTAAGGACCAGTAACCAGTAACAAAGATCTAATTCTTTACACGCCCGTATTCTAGCCACCTGTCCAAACACAACTGATTTTGCCTAAGGACAAGACACCAGTAGATTCATCTATATCACACTGCAATACTTCAAATGAAAATAAACATTCAACTGCTTATTTTAGCACTGAGATGAATGTCATGAGGTTTTTGTAAGACTAATTATTTAAATGGTGAACAGGTGAGAACCTGTCTTGGTGCAAACGTTCTCCAATTAATTTATTTCTGCGGGGGGCAGGGGCGGGGGGGGGGGGGGGGAAGGAGCCGCGCCTGGAGCTTCTGGGCTGGCAGGCCTGTCTCCTCTTCCTCTGCGAGGCTATAAGGCAGAAACCTGCGTTCAGGAAACCTCCGTCCTGGCCGGTCTTTAACCATTTCACTGTTCTTTTGTAAGACTCAGAAGACTGAACACGTTTGTACCGACTTACCGGCTCATTAAAAAATAAATAAAATTCACCTTAATTCTAAAATGCACCCTTTATAAGAAGAATGTTTTCAATGCTGCTCACGGCGGTGAAAGGATGCGTGTGTGTGCGTGTGTGGAGGGAAATGTCCTCCAACAGTAAAAAAACATGGTCAGGGTTTCTGGAACGTGCACCTCCGGGCACCTCGCAGTAATTCCGTGGTGGACATCAGAACTGTCCTGAACGTTATCGATGCTAGTGGTGCCAGCTGATGTTATACACGCGTTACAAGTGCCATTGGTGCCAGATGACATTAGGCATGTGTACAGTAACTAGCTGTCGCTCAAAGAAAATCCCGACCACTGAGGATAAGATTTGGGCTGAAAAGCAGGGAGGCACCTTTCCTAAAGTCGCACCTTTCCTAAAGCCACGAGCACACTCAGCCTCCCTCCGTCTCTGCCACATTCTGCGTCTGAGAAAGGGGCCCGCCGGCTCCTTTCCAGGTGGTGGAGAAAACCAGACTATCAAACAAGCCGTCAGGGCTCAGCCAGACGGGAAACAAAATTCTCGCCTTCAAGCCCCGCTTCCTCTCCACTCCTGCCCCGCTGGTGAAGAGCAGAGGATTACGCGCGGAGAAGGTGAGCGAAAGCCTGTGACAGCGTGTTTTTGTACAGAACAGAAAGGCGCGACAGGAAGAGCCAGGACGGGGACAGGGAGGGCGCTCAGGGACTCGCCAACAGCGCGGCGCTCTCAAGGGCGCCTGGCCAGGCGGGGTTGCAGGCAGAGGGCAGCGGTCTCGGGGCAAGTCGGGCCTGGGCCCCGCGGCTACTCACGCGTCTCCGCCCTCCTCCGAGTCGCTGTCCGACGCCCACTCCTCGCCAATGTCCGGCAGGGTGAAGAACAGGGTCTTGGGGCCAGGCCCGGGGGGCATCCAAGCGCTGGGACCTCGGTCGTCCGGGCCAGGCTGGCGGGAGGTCCGGGGGCTCGAGGCTGCACTGCTGCTGCCAGTGGCGCCCCCGATCGACGGCAGCGCGGCCCACACCCCGCCAGGCGGGCAGGGCGGCGGCCTCGGCACCGCCGCCAGGTGAGCCGGGGAGCCTGCTGCGCTGCCGCCCCCGCCGGAGGCGGCCACGGCCAGGGCCTGGACTTGGGTTGCTCTGGGGCTACTAGGCAGCGAGAAGGGGGTCCCTACTGCTTCTGTCCCGCGGCTCGCGACCGAGACCCTGGGGTAGGAGGCGGTGAGCCGAGGATGGAGCGAGGCGGGCGCCCCCCGTGAGGTGGACGGCGAGTCGGGCGCCAGGGCGGGGAGGAGGGTCAGGGTGGGGACCGCCGACCCGGCGGTGGCAGCGCCTTCCCAGTGGCCGGAGGGGGCGACCTGCGAGGGCAGCCCCGGGGGCGCCGTCGAGGTCTTGAAGATTTTGGCAAAGAGAGACCCAAAGTCCAACACAGCGACCTTCATGTCCCAGCCTTGAAAATGCTGTCCCCGCTGCTGCTTCAACCTCAAGACCACGGGGAGCCGGGCTCCGGGGCTCCATCCACGGCCGCTCGCAGGGAGCCGGGGGACGCGGCCCCGGGCGGCGGCGGGGGTCCTGCGGACCCGAGGGCTTCAGGCGCGCGCCGCACACGGAGGGACGTCTCCGGGCTCTCAGCCACGCAGCTCTGGAACCAGGCCTCCCCGACGCCCAGGGGGCCCGCTCGACGCTGAGGCTGGGGGACTGGGGGGCGGCGGGGCGAGGGGGCGGCAGCCACCTTGTGCGCAGAGCGGTCCGTCAGCCCTGGTCCTGCGAGACCTCGGAGAGCCACACTACTGCCAGCGTCACCGCGGGCTGAGGGTGGGGACTGGGGCCCCCGCCGCAGGCGGAGGTACCCACAGCGGGCCCCCAGGACGCGCAGGCGGTTGCTAAGCTAAACAAAAACCCTGCTTAGCGCACTGCTAATTGGGCCCCGGATTGCAGCTTGGGGCTGTGTCTACAGCAGTTACCCTGGCTCCCCTCCTTGATCCGTGCCTTAAAGGAACACTGTCCAATTTCTCCGTCGCCCTTAGAGCTCTGAGCCGAGGGCGAGGAGCTTGAAGGGAGCCTTGGGAAAGACAATCCTGCTTCCAGAACCTGGACCCTAACTAGTCCGACAAGACCAAATGGGCCAGGGTCAGGGTTGGTTCACACACACGCAAACACACACACACACACACACACACGCACACGCACACGCACACGCACACCCCCCCCCCGCCCCCGCATATTCAGGCGAGGGGACTTGAAACAGCAGTGCCCTCTCCCCCCACTTCAGGGCCGTGTTCAAAATGTGTCACTGAAGATGACAGCTTCAGTTTAGGGAGAACAACAGGAAGAACTTGGAAATAAGATTGAGCCCTGATAGCTAACTAGTAAAATCCACGCACAGTGCATGTGTTTAAACACCTATCAGAATGGACCAAGATGCTTGGTAGCTGAAGTGTTTGAGAACTCAAACTATAATCAGACTGATTAGATAGATACAAACTCAAAAGGCAGATAGGAAAGGTAAGAGTTTCTTAGTAAGTGGAATATATTTTATTTTGCTAAATCTAAAGAATTATAGTGAAAGATAGAGTGTATGAGTGTGATGATCCACAGGAGTGTGCGGTCAATTCTGAGCAAGAGTGAAAAACATGGTATTGGCTGGGCTTATCCATGAATGTTTAGGAGACCTATTTTCTGATTTGGGGCAGGGAAGGGAAACGAGTAAGTCCGGTAGTGAATAAATTAACATCATTCAGGAGTACATTAGGCTTTTGGCAAGCTATCCAACTGGATTCTGAGCTACTGCAAATTTCCACTGGTAACACCAAGTTTTGTATTTCCTTGTGGAGAGCTAACCAATCCTCTGCCCATGACACCCACATTCTGTCAGGATCCTTTTTCTGAATCCAAGTGAATAAACCATGTACTGGGCACTTTTCTACTTCAAGACAGCGCTGAGCACTGAGATGGAAACAAAAGGATGTCCTTTTCCCGCAACTAGAGATAGTCAGCTTCCTATCACAGCTCAGTGTCAGGTGACTGCCTCAGCAAACAGGTGCAGCTGGCAGCAGCCCTCGCAGTCAGCAAGAACTTGGGGAAAGGACAATTGTGTGCTTAAGAGAGATGAGAGGCAAAGCTGCTAAGGGTCGGACTATCCAGGGCCTGGGATGGTGGAAGAGGGAAGAGAATACAGTTGTCAGTATGTGAAGCACCAGTGAATAATCACACAGGGGAGACTCTAAATGGGGGAACAGGGAATAAGTAACAGACATCGGAGGGCAGCAATGGAAACTAGAGGCAGAGGTCTCAGGGTCCAAGCAGGGAAGCTGTGCCAACTTCGTCGTGATGCACAGGGGCCGGAACCATCCATATTCTCATATTCCCGTCATCTCTCTTTTGTAGCCACTCATCAGGGGGCCTTAGAGGCATGTGCGGTCTGTCAGAACACTGGGCTATTCTCCTACACATTCATTCAGGACTGCAATGTTGCGTCCTAAGAACTGTGCGTTTTGGAGGGATCTTGCTTCTGATTCATAGAATCCTCTATGTGCTAGGTCACTCTCAATGCAAATAGAATCATTTCTAAACCATGCACTTTCAGTGTCTAAACTGCCCATCATCTCACTGATTGTGGACCCTTACAGCTGACCGGCCTCTCAGGATGGGGCCACGCTAATCTGACTCATAAAATACAGGTGCATGAGCCCCCACCTCTAGTGTGTTAACTAATAATGACACAACTGCAAAGTTGTCCTCTGCTCCTTCCCTACGAGAGGAATTCCTGTTAAGACCACGTTAAGTTGAAAGATTGTTCGTTGGGCATAGAATCAAGCAAAGACAGTGTGTCAAGTGATTCATACGTGGGGGACATTCCCAATTAACCTTGAACGAACTGTGGGGCATCTGCCTACCTATCTTCCGCTCTTTACCTTTAGATATTTCTGTGCTTCTATTACTAACCACTTCTTTTCTGTGCACATGCTGTTCTTTACATGGGAACTGTTAATAAATCTGCAAACTCTTCTAGATCTGAAACCGTTCTATCTCCAAGGTGTGCTTGCATGTACCATATCTGCTTATGGGCTGAACTGTGTCCTGCAGAAATATATGTTGAAGTCTTAAGCCCCAGTTCTTGGGAATGTGACCTTGTTTGGAAATGGGGCCTTTGTAGAGGCAGCCAAGTTAAGATAAGATCATGAAGAGGGGCCTGATCCAGTGTGACTGCCATACTCCTGAGAAGAGAGAAATTTGAACACCACCACACAGGGAAAGTCCCAGATGATGACAAAGGTAGAGACTGGAGTGATGCAGCTGCAAGACAGGGGACATCAAGGGCTGAGGGCCACCCCCAGAAGCCAGGAGGAAGCAAGAAAGATTCTTGCTGAAGTTTTCGAGAGAACGTGGTCCTGCCATCATCTGATAGCAGACTCCTAGTTTCCAGAACTGGAACAGAATAAGTGTCTGTCGCTTTAACCCACCCAATCTGTAGCACTTTGTTATGACTCCATAGGAAACTAATACACTCCTGGGGGATTAGTTAATTGCTGGGGTACTTCATAATTATGGTATCTTGCTGGTACATTTATGAAATCTTCAGTGGGTGCAGTTTCTGCAAAACACTGGCTATAAATTAAAATGATAATCATAGTTGATTTGAATCTACAGGAAAAATGACAGGCATCTTAAAAAAGACAGAGGAAGAAGTATTATTGTCCATTCAAGCGGTACATGTAGCATTTTGGCCAGCGAGCCTCCTGAAAGTGGCACAATGAATGAAGGAATGATTGATCCTTTTGTTTGAAGGTCCTTTGAAAATGGCCTATAATGGCAAGCGTGATAAACAATTCTCAGCAAGATGCTAGGTCTTTTATACCCATTGTTCGTCTATCAACAGTCTTCTAGAGAGACATGAGATGCTACCAGGCTTCTCTGTTAATTACGGGTATCATGGCTTTCTTATAACATGAGCCCCAGGTGACTGCAGCATCTGGCTCAAGCACAATAAGGAAATGGAAGTAAATGCAGCAAATCATTGTTTCTAACTGTGACAGTGTTAACTTTAGATAAACTTCATAAGAAATGTCAAAGCCTTGTTTGGTGTGATAAAATTCTTCTGTTTATATCAGTGAATTAGCAATGTGAAGAATTGGTTTTCTGCTGTGTGCAATAATGCTTGGCTACATCTTTGAGAAAGTCTGAGGAAGTTATGACCATGTTTTGAAGAAATGCTGAATTTTGGAAACCTGGAAGTTAAAATAAATAATTTGAGTAATTAGCACGTTTAAGAACTGAAATTGCCTCATTTAACATGACACCGAGGCCAGAACCTATAAAGAAAAACTCTTATCAAATTTGATTATAAAAGTTGAAAATTTCTGAACAATGAAATGCATTTGTTGATTGAACAAGCACTTCCTAAGCACCGCAGTGGAGGTAGTACAGTCCGCTGGGCATGGAGTGGAATCTTTAGGTTCATGTTGTCTCTGCCAAGGACCCGCACCCAGGCCTCTCTGTCCCTTCATGGTTGCTGTCTCCATTGATGGAACATGGGGAGAGTCATGTGGATTAACTAACATCTTCTTGGTAACTGGAACAGAGCCTTGCGTAGGGTAAGCTCTCAGTAGACGTTAGTTTTTATTATATGTGGAGCCAGGTTATTTTGAACAACCTGGAAAAAATATCTTGACGGAAATTATAGCTACGTTTGTGTCCAACTTTTTTTCTTTTTGTACCATTTAGATCTTTTTAGTAAGTGTATCTTATTTGTTTTCAACGATAAACACAGCAAAAGAAAACAAAACATATCAAAACCTCAGAAGCCTCAAGCAAGTTTCTTGACGTGTGGTTAAGGGCTATGAAATCTACCATGGGAAAAATACAAAAACAAGAACATCTTTCAACTGATTGGACAGCTGCTTTAGATGACAGAAATTACTAATAGACCATGACTGAATCTACTGGCTGTGGCGGCAGAAACAGTGTATGGAAACAACAGAGACCAGACCCATGAGGCTTTGCAGGTGCTCTCAGCTGCAAGTAACAGAGGGAGCCCGTGCTAACAGTCCCCTGAGCATCAGAGATGCTTAAACAGCTCACAGCAGGAAGCCCATGGTCAGCTGGCCCTGGGATTGGCGCTGGGAATTACCGATGTCATCAGAGACTCAAGATCGTCCTCTCTTGTTTGTTTGCCCACTGGCAAGATGTTTTGCCTTGTTTCCTGGTGGTGCCAAGATGGTACCCTGAGCACCAACTATCTTTTCCTCAAATAATTAAATTCAAGACAAGAAGGAGGTACAGCTCACTCTCTCACTTTCCCTCCCATTAGGAAACAAAATACTTTCCAGAAGCTTCTCTTTGTCTAGAACTAAGTTAAAAGTCCTTTCTTAAACTGATTATCAGCAAAGGGGAAATAAGAGGTATCATTCTTTTCAATCACAGTGCCTCTCTTAGCAGTCGAGAAAAAAGTCCACTTTCCTTGAACATG